TCCCGAGACACCCAGTCTGGGAGTAGCAGAGATTGATTTGAATCTGGACACATTTTGTTTTGGCCTAGTGCACGCTGGAGAGATGAGTGGAAGAGCCAGGAAGCAGTGTGAACCAGGCGCTGTGGTGCACACCTGTAGTCCCAGCTGCACAGACGGCTGAGGCAGGAGGGTTAGAAGTTTGAGCCAGCCTGGGCGATTTAGCAAGATGTTGTCTCAAAAAATAAAAAAAGGGCCGGGGGCCAGGGATGTAGCTCAGTGGTGCTGCCCCTGCCTGGCACGCATCAGGTCCTGAGTTTGATCCCCGGTCCTGGAGGAAAAGAAAGGGCTGGGCTTCAGCTCAGTGGTAAAGTGCTTGCCCAGGATGCAAGGCCCTGGATTCAGTCCTGTTACCCACACCACTTGTGCAAGAAAAGCAGTGCAAGTGAGGGAAGCAAAAACGAGAGGAAAAAGTGAAATCCTGACTGAAGGGCAGGCGTAAGAAGACTGTGCTTGAGAACAGAGTTTGAAAAGTTGGTGAATGGATGTAGCTGACTGGGTAATAGTAGGATTAGAGTTCAGAGCCTTGGGAGGGTGGGGCTTCTGTCCTTGGACCCTGATTTCTTCCTTGGCTTCTGGCCCTGGCGGCCTGTGAGTGCTTTAGGAGAGGGACGCTCTGAGCCAGAGCTGGTAAGATAAGGGAGCTGTGTGGGGAGTAGGCGCTGATAGAGCAGCAGATCCCACTGGACCCTGCTTAATGGAAAATGTCTGTTTCCGCTCTGGCTCGGCAGTCTCGGGTGTGTGTGTCTTGTCACTCTTGGCAGCTGGAGCGGAGAGGACAGGGGTGGCCAGTCAGGCTCAGTTCTTGTGAGGCCAAGGGGAAATGCAGTACCTTCTTTAGGGCTTCAAGGTCTGTGCCCTGGAGCCGTGTCCTGCCCTGGCCCAGTGCCTGCTCTTAGCCCCGGGCGCTGTGCTTCAGGCCCTGCCCTGCTCTCTCCGCGCTGCCCATGCCCGCTCTGGCCTCCCTTCCCACAGAAAGTGTGCCCCAGGAGAGCAGGTTCCCCAGAGTTAGCCAGACTCAGAATTGCCCTGTAGCCCACCAAGTTTCACTTGTGGTGTGGGGAGGCCAGAGCAGGGGTTCAGACAGCTGCAGCAGGGCTCACAGCAGCCACGTGTCCAGCACAGAGGAAGCGATGAGCAGAATGTGCACACATACCCGGGGATGGCACTCGCCTCCGAGGGACTGACATCCACAGCCTGGCTCGACCGCGGGACAAGCCAGTCCCCAGAGCGCACAGATGGCAAGACTGCACTTAGCAGGTGTCCACAAGGGCACATTCGTGAAGACAGGAGGTAGTACAAAGGCTGCAGGCTGGGGCCAGAAGGGGGTGACAAAAAGTTCTGGAAGTAAATAGTTTTGATGGATGTAACATCATTGTGAATATACTTAATGTCGCTGAATATGGACTTAAAAGTGGTCAGAATCGCCAGGCGTTGTGGCACATGCCTGTAATCCCAGCACTTGGGAGGCTGAGGCAGGAGGATTGCTGTGGGTTCAAGACCAACCTGAGCTACATAGTGAGTTCCAGGCCAGTCTCAACTACATAGTGAGACCCTGTCTCAACCCGCCCCCACTAAAAGTGGTCAGAATGAGCCAGGTATCGTGGCACACGCCTGTAGTCCCAGCACTCGGGAGACTGAGGCAGGAAGATCGCAAGCTCAAGCTCAGCCTGGGCACCTGAGTGCCTTGTCTCAAAAAAAAAGACCTAAAATAATAAATTTTAGACCAGGTGTGGTGGCACACATAGGTAAAATCGCAGCACTTGAGTGGCTGAGGCAGGAGGATCACTGAGTTCGAGACAGCCTGGGGCTATACATTGAGTTCAAAGCTGGCCTGAACTGTACAGTGAGACCCTTCTCCAAAAAACCCCCCAAACAAAAAGAGATGCATTTTTTGTATATACATATTTTACCGTGATCAATGTGATACTTTTTTTTTTTCCAGATCTAGGGATTGAGCCCTTGTTCATTGAATTGAACTACATCTCTGGCTTTGTTTGCTTGTTTACTTATTTATTTCCTGTGGTATTGGGGATTGAGCCCAGGACCTTCATATTGAGCTACATCCCCTATCGTTTTTTTTTTTTTTTTTTTTTTTTTGCTGCCCGGAATTGAACTCAGGGCCTCGCACTTGCTAGGCAGGTGCTGTGCTGCTGAGCTACATCCCCAGCCCCCTGCTGTTCTATTTTTTTGTGGCAGGGCCTTGCTATGTAGTTCAGGCTGACCTCAAACTCAGTGGCAGTCTTCCTGCCTCTGCCTCCTGACTGCTGGGATTATAGGCACGTGCCACCATGCCAGCAACCTATACTCTTTTTGTTTTTTGTTTTTTGTTTTTTTTGGTTACTGGGATCGAACTCAGGGCCTTGCGCTTGTAAGGCAGGTGTGGTGCTACTGAGCTAAATTCCCGGCCCTTTTTGTAGCTCCTTTTTGTGACAGGATATGAAAAATAAGAATATGCTTGTATAACTTTATAAATGTAATGGTCTTAAATTTGGATGAAATTTTTTCAGATTGTGGCCATTGGATCTGTTGCTTATGATGTTGAAGTGTAAATATGTCCCAGGGCTCCTTAGAAACCCTTGTATGCCCCTTATGTCTTCTGCTGAGAAGGAACCTAGGTCGTCAGGGGCAGATGACAAAGGAGAGGTGGCGTGGTGGGGAACAGCTGTATCTTAGCACTCTGAGAAGCTGAGGCAGGAGGGTTACAAATGTGAGTCCTAACTGGGGAATTTAGTGACTCGGTAAGACCCTGTCTCAAGATTTTGAAAAGGTGTTTGGAGGTGTAGCTCAGAGTGAAGGCCCTGAGTTCAGCCCCTGGTGTGCCAAGGAGCGTGTCTAGCTGAGGCGGGAGCTCAGGTTCCTGGTTTCCCTGGTGGGCAGGTGACACAGCTGAGACTTGAGACTTGAGTGTGCATTTCTTTTTTTTCTTGGTTTTTTGAGACAGGGTCTCATTATGTAGTGAGACTGACCTGGAACTCATTATGTAGCCCAGGGTGGTCTCGAACTCACAGCGATCCTCCTGCCTCAGCCTCCCGAGTGCTGGGATTCCAGGTGTGCACCACCACGCCCGGCTGAGTGTGCATGTCTGATATCAGGCCTGTGCAGCCTGTGCGAGGCTCATCAGCCTGGGGCTTGGGGGCTGGATCCCAGCTCAGGGGCTCTCTCTGCTTGGGTTCTGGATCTTCCACGTCCTCGCACACTGAGATGCAGCTTCTCCTGTTTCAGCTGCCTTTTTGCAGTGCTGAACCAATGTCCTTTGGGCTGCATGGACCGAGTACATCCCAGCCCTTCTTAAATTTTTTATTTATTTTTTGGTACTTGGGATCGAACTCGGGTCCTTGTACTTGAGAGGCAGGAGGAGGAACCACTGAGCTAAATCCCTGGCCCTGAATTTTTTATTTTGAAACAAGGTCTCACTAAGTTGCCCAGGCAGGATTTAAGCTTGGGATTCTCCTGCCTCAGCCTCCCAGAATGCTGGGATTGTAGGCATTTGCCACTACACCCGGGTGCCCTATTTATTTATTTACTTTTGTTGTTGTTTTTTCTGTTTGTCATCGTTTGCTTTTGAGACAGAGTGTTGCTATGCAGTTCAAGCTGACTTTGAACTCACAGCAATTTTCCTGCCTCAGCCTCTGGAAGTGCTGGGATTACAGGTGTTTGCCACCATGCCCAGCTGTTTCTAGATTTTTCAGGAGCCTTTATGCAATTTTCCATGCTGACTGTACCAGCTGAGGGGTGTTTGAACTGTATTTGATGCTTTTCTTCTTGACACTGAGCTGCATCCCCAGCCCTTTTTATCTGGAGACGGGGTCTTAAGGTCACTAAGTTGCCCAGGGTGGGCTCCAACTCTGCCATTCTCCTGCCTCAGCCTCCTAGAGTGCTGGGATCACAGCACCACTGGTGCTCTTGTCTCCTGTTGCCTTTATTACGGTATTTAGGTATTTGTCCTTCCTACCACACTGAAAGTTCTTGTGGACAGAACCCGACCTTCAGAGATCTTGAAGCTCCTGGAATAAGGGGCTCAGGACTCTAGCTATTGCAGGCCCTGCTGAGACGCAGTTGGAAATTGGCTGTGGTGCTCAGTGCAGGGTGCTGCGCCTGTTAGCTCATTAGTGATGACTCCTGAAGGGTTCTTTAATGCACAGCCTCGAAAGATTTTTCAGAAGGAGACCGAAGGAGCATTTGGTTCTCACAGGCTCTTGGAGAATGGGACCTTTGATTCCTGCCTGATCGCCTTTATCTGCATACGTTAACCAGGCTCCAGGAACAGATGAAAAACAGTGAGGTTCTTGATTGGGGAATGGTTACAAAAAAAAAAAGTCCAAGCTTGCTGTTGATGCCTCGTGTTGTTCCCAACTTGAAGGCGTCGAGGAGTGCACCGAACTGGGGAAGTGTGGCTCTTCCCCGTGTGACCACTTCTCCTAGAGCGGTCCTGGTGAGTCAGCACGGGGATGACCGCCGTGCCTGGGTTCTCGCGGTCCTCCCTGGCCTGCCTTCTTCCTGGACATGAGCAGTTGGCTGGCAGGCGATAGATCATTTCACCAATGGCTTTGACCTTTCGTGCCTCAGAGAAGAGTAGTTAACACACCATGGAATCCCGCTGGGTCCCAGCCCTGTGGTTATGTAGACTTTGTAAGTGGTTTTCAAAGTGGAGCTGAGATCAAATCCCATTCATCTTCTCCTGGACAGATTTATAGGGAGAATGGGCACAGCCTTTTTGGTCTGCTGAGGACCAAGTGGGAGGAAATAAGAAATCTCAGCTAAGAGATTGGAAACCGACACTGCAGAGGTGGGGGCGTGGCCTGATGCTGAAGCTGGACCCGGTGCTGGTGCCAGAGGTACCCGGGCTCTGTGCAGGGCGGCCTGGCAGGCCAGGCGGCGTCTGCTGCCCAGCCCCTTTATCCCTCTCACTTAACCTGTTTCTTCTAGCCGGCGAGGCCTCATTCCATTTCTTTTTCTCTTAGTCAGATTCTGAGGAAGATGAACCCACAAAGAAGAAAATCGTCCTTCAGGTAAGCGTCACAACACAAGTTGCGTCTTCTCCTCACGCTGCTTCCCGAGATGGGACCCCAGGTGCCCGGCAGCTTTCAGGCTGTGTGCAGTGTGCACACACGGTGTGAGGCTCCGCAGGCCCACTTTGCTGTGCACGGACGTCAGGCTGGTGCATCCCCGCCTCCTCTCTGTTTCCTAGCACGTGGGTGAGCCTCCCTGGAGAGCAGGCGAGGCGGGCGCACTAACTCAATTCCCTCATTACATCTCAGGTAAAAGGATTATTTAGGGAGGGAGGAGTAAATGGGTCAGCTAGAACGATGTTAGGGAGCATCTGTATTTTAAAATTGCCTATCTTCTCCCGGGCTTATTTTTAACCTGGAAATAAACACTTAATAGCACTTACTTTGTACCAGGCACTGTTCCGAGTGACAGTGCTAAAGTCAGAGTGTTATCATTATTCCCGCTTTGTACATAGGAAACTAGGGATGTGGCCAAGGCCAACCCCTGGAGGCAGAGCTGGAACGACAGTTACACAGACAGTCTGACTGCAGGGTCTGAGTCCAAGCTACTGCTGCCCTTGGCTGTTTCTTGGTCATCAAGTCCAGAAGTCCTCACGAGATGCTCTCCCAGCCATCTGCTGCTCTCCCATCGTCCTAGGGCCGTTACTCCAGCCCCGCCCCCACCCCGTCTCTCTGCTTTCCACACTCAAGGCACGCTCTGACCTGATGTCTTAGGAATAGCAGTGCTGTCAGGTGCCGGAGTGCACACCTGTAATCCCAGCACTTGGGAGGCTGAGGCAGGAGGCTCGCCACAAGTTTAAGGCCAGCCTGAACTACACAGCAGGTCATAAACCATCTGTGCTGGATGTGAACTGCAGTCCTCTGCGTCAGCCTTCTGAGTGCTGGGATCACAGGGCCACCATACCCTGCTCTAGAGGTTCTGAAAGGACAGTGTTGTGTGGAAGTTGTACCGCTGAGGGCGCTGTCCACATTTACAGTGGTTGCTGAAGGAGGAGGCATAGAAGGAGCTTGTGTGCTGACTCCAAGCGAGGCCATTTGTGCCCATTAGTGGGTGGCTTCCTGGAGCAGGTGCCCACAGGTCGTGGGCAGTCTTCCAGATGCTAGGAAGGGGTGAGTGGTGGAGGAGCTAGTGTAGGGACCAGCCCTGCTAGGGGATGTGGCCATGGCCGGCTGGCACTGAGGCGGTCCACCTCTGCAGTACCCTAAAAGGTGCTGCCTTCAACACCTCAGTCTGGTTTTCGTGCTGAGCCTCTGGGGCTGCCAGACTGGATTCACCGAGCTCTGTGTCCTCACACTGGGAGAGAGGGGCCCCTCTCCAGAGGAAGTTTTCCATCTGCCTGGCCCACTCAATTCAGAAGCCTTTTTCCATTTATTTGGGCATTTTGGGCTGAGAAGACTGGAACACACTGGTACCCTAGGACAGCGACACAGTTACCTTACTCCACTCTTGGTCTTCTGGTTGGAGTCAGGCTGGCCCTTCAGCACGCGTACAGAGAGCAGGATCTGAGAGTCTTGGGAGTGACAGGGCCCTGGACGGGCCTGATGTGCCTCACCCAGCTCCTCTGCCACATGGACGGGCTCCCCAGGAGGGGACATGGAGCCACTTGCCTGAATGTCTCATGGACAGAGTCCGTTCTTCATTCCAGAAGGAAGGACAGGCCCTTCAGGACCTGGGCTGGGGTTGCATGGTCAGATGGGAGGGCGGGGCTTTCGGGAAGAAGGGTGACGTGAGCAGAGCGCCAGCTCTGCCGGAGTCATTTGGGGAAGACTGGCCGAGGGCGGTGATCTGCGCGGGATGAGCTAAGCGGGAGGGGCCTGGGCAGGTGCGGTCTGGCTCCGATTGGGTGGCCCGGGTGGGCAGAGGGAGAAGTGATGAGGGCTGGGGGGATCTCAGGCTAACGCACATAGCGAACTCTTGCTTTTGGTGTCCCAAGTGTGTGATACAGAATCTCACCTGTCATCTTTCTTCTCTTCTTCCCCAACCCGGGCTCACCAGGGATCCGGCGAGGGGACTGGTTTGTCTGCCTTGCTTCCCCAACCTAAAAATCTGACTGTGAAAGAGACTAACAGGTTGCTCCTGCCCCATGCCTTCTCCCGGAAACCCTCAGATGGCCCCGCTGATGCCAAGCCCTCCAGACTGGCCTCTAAGGCCAAGCCCTCCTCTCTTGCACCTGTTATGGGCACCACAACCACCACCCCGTCGCCCTCTGCCATCAAGGCTGCCGCCAAGAGTGCTGCCCTGCAGGTGACGAAGCAGATCACGCAGGAGGAGGACGACAGTGATGAGGAAGTGGCCCCTGAGAACTTTTTCTCCCTCCCTGAGAAGGCCGAGGCAGCTGGAGTTGAGCCATACCTTTACCCCGTCCCCACTGTCCCTGAAGAGCTGCCTCCGGGCACAGAGCCGGAGCTGGTGTTCCAGGACGATGCAGCCAACGCCCCCCTCGAGTTTAAGATGGCAGCGGGCTCCAGTGGGGCCCCTTGGATGGCTAAGCCTGGGGATGACTACAGCTACAGTCAGTTCTCTGCATATGGCGATGCCAATGCCGCTGGTGCTTATTATCAGGTGGGTGGAGGGCACTGAGGGCAGGTGTGGGGGTCAGGGAAAGTCTGAGCTGGCAAAATGGCCTCTGGTGTCCTTGCCTTGATTTCCCCATACCTGTTAGGCCTCAGAACATACTTTATTCTGGACCTGTGGATCTAAATTGACCATGTCTTATAGGCTGATGAGGTGAGACACATAATTGACACCTTTATCTTGTGTGTGACTCACTGTTCCTTCACTGCAACAAAACACCCAGAGGAGTCAACTCAGGAAATGTTTTTTTGGCGCCTGGTTTCAGTCCTGGTTCTTGGTCCCACTGCTCTTGCTCCAGTGGCAGAGCAGCGCCTCATGCTGGGTGCCTGTGGCTGGGAAGCAGAGAAGAAAGGGGCCCTTCAATTCACGTGTCCAGGGACCTCACTTCCTCCCACCAAGCCCCGCCTCCTAAAGGTCCTGTCTCCTGGCAGTGCAGGAGGTTAATGCCTGGGTCTTCAGGGCACCACAGCCCTGGGGAAACTCTTACTTGGGAGCTGGTGAGAGTGTCAGGGAGAGGCAGTCTCCGCTGAGAGTGGAGGCTGCCGATCAGGGCCCTGCAGCGTAGACGTCCAGAAACAGGCCCGGAGAGTCTGGAGGGACAGAGGAGGGGAGGTATCTGCAGAGCTCATGCACAGGGCCAGTGAGGACTGGGCAGAGTCCTGCACTGAGTTGGGGCAGCCAGAAGGGCTGAGGCCAGTCAGCGAGTGGTGTGTCCTGAGTGGGGGCAGTTGCTGTGCTGCCCCGCAAGGCTTAGCTTCCGTAGTTGCAGAGCGGGCCGGGGGCAGCCTCTGGAGGAGCATCTCACCGTCCAGCTCGGCCTGCCTGCAGTGCAGTAAGCGCTCAGTAAATGGTTACTGCAACTTCCACCCACACTTTATGTAAATGTTATTTGGGGAAGAGATCTGACGTCCACGTGGCCTCAGGGTGAGCACCTAGAACGCCAGGCTGTGTGAGCGGGGTGGAGGGAAGTTCCAGCAGTGGGGATTCCGGGATGGAGAGGGTGTCACTGGTCTGGGGTCGGGGTGAAGAGCAGGAGCTGAGCGCTGGCCTGGCATCAAGAGACTTGGGTCTTGCTTCTCCCAATGGTCGAGGTTGGTCTTTCAGTCTGGGCATCAGTAGGAAAGGGCTTCCAAGGTCCCTGTTTTTTGTGGGGTATGTGTGTGTGTGTTTCTTTGTTTTGATACAGGGTCTCGCTTATGTAGTCTATTCTGGCCTTGAACTCACTATGTAGCTCAGGCTGCCCTCAATCTCCTAGCGATCCTCCTGCCTCAGCCTCTCCAATGCAAAGATTATAGTCCTGTGCCACCATGCCTGGCTGAGTCCCTGAATTGACCAAAGACTTTGAAAATGATTTTGTTTCCTAAATCATTGCTGTTAAACCCTGTATCCTAGGATGATCAGAAACACTGTCTCCTCTCAGGGTGGATAGAAGGGATGAAGAAGATAATTGTGTTTTGACTTCTTTAGTAAAGAGAAAGGTACTGCCTATTTAAAGTATAAGAAAGTTGCTGGGCGTGGTGGCGCATGCCTGTATCCTAGTACTCGGGAGGCTGAGGCAGGAGGACCACTGTGAGTTCGAGACCAGCCTAGGCTACATAGTGAGTTCCAGGTCATTCTCAACTACATGGTGAGACCCTATCTCAAAAAAAACAAAAACAAAAACAAAAACAAAACTAAAATAAAGTATAAGAAAGCACTGATTTCCATCCAGTAAATGGAAAAAAATTGGGATTTTTTTTTAAATAAGTTTTAATTACTATTTTTGGTGTGATACTGGGAAATGAACCCAAGGCCTTCATACTGAGCTACATCCTTAGCCTAGGTTAGTTTAGTTTAGTTTAGTTTGAGAGAGTCTTGCTTAATTGCCTGTTGGGGCTCAAATTTGTAATCCTTCTGCCTCAGCCTCCCAGAGTTTTTGGATTACAGACCCTAACCACCTTCCCTGGTTGTATTCCATTTTAAACATGATTGAGGCAGTCTGTGTAGATTAAAGCACTTTAAGTACTAGGGACTCTGAAGTCTAAACGTATCTTATTTTGAACACTACTATAGAAAATCCATTCTCTTAATTGCCCTGGATTTTCTTGTATTATTTTTGTGTAATGAATGCAAAGTCTGTTTTCCATTTAGCTCATTACTAAGTGAATGTTCTTAGAGGGACATTTCCTGGAGCTTTGGGCAAAGGTGGAAGAATTAGGAAGAAAGTGGAGGCAAGGAGGAAGCATTTCCTGGGCTCCATGGCCGCCTGACTGGGCCACAGCAGGCCCTGGCCCTGCTCCACGCCCTTTTCCTGGGGTCTGCAGAGCGTCTGAGCAGCTCACTTCTGAGGGGAATCATCAGATTCCTGGAGCAAATATCTGCTTTGTTTCCAGCTTTGTAAATTCTGAGACCCTCAGAATAGTTTACTTCGAATCACATGGGGAACCCATAGCCCCCACAGCTGGGCCCCCTGCGTCACAGGGCTGAGCAGGAGGAAGAGCCGGGCTGGCCTGCCTCACGTCAGTCATCCTGCTGCGGCCTTCTGGGGTCTCCGGAGCAGGCAGAGGTCGGGGCGGGGAGTAGCTGAGGGAGCAGGGCACAGCCTGCAGGAGAGAATGTCTTTATTCCTTGTTACCCTTCCCCAAAGAGCACATCGGTCTGGATGATGCAGATCGGAAAGCTGCAGGGACTGTTGGTGGTTTAGAGGGTAAGTCCCTGGATTTTCCTTTACTGGTCCATCTGAGGGGCTGTAGTGTGGGCGTCTCTCCACGCCTGTTTCATGAGGTTTCACCATTTCTAGGCCAACCACGTCCCCTCCCCCGTGCCTCAGTGTGTGTTTTCCTTTTTGGCTGCAGGATTATTACAGTGGTGGCTACTATCCTACGCCGGACCCGGCCCTGGTCTCCTCCCAGGAAATCGCCCCCGACGCCTCCTTCATCGATGACGAGGCAGTAAGTCAGCACAGCACGAAGAACTACCTTTCGGTGGTGGTCCTGGGGATCCAGCCTGGCCCAGGGAAGCCCTGCACCGCGGAGCTGCACCCAAGGCCCCAAGTGGTCATCTTTGACCCATCTTTGACACCAGGTTTCAAATCTGAAGCTAAAGGAAAGTGAATTTTTCAAAACTGTCTGAGTTAGGAATCAGTTTGGCAACATGTAACAGAGAAACCCTAAGAATAACGGCCTGTATAACAGCAGTGTATTTTGTCCTCATAAAGGAAGTCTGGGCAGGCTGACTGACCTCCGTGGTGTGAGAGCCCCACAGCACTGTTGGGGACCCAGTCCCCTCCTGATCACTGCCTCCTGTCCCTAGGCTGTGGCCTTTATTCCGTGATAGCAGCTAGAGCTGCAGGCATCACATCTGCTCTGGAGCTGCAGTGGGTGGAGAAGGGAGGAAGGCGGACATGGAAGTTGAGAGCACTTGCGCCTCCTGACCAGTACCTGCTCCCTTGGCCATATCTGGTTGCAAGGAGGCCAAGGAAATGTAGTCTTTTACTTGGCTGGTAATGTTCCTGGCTAACAGCTTGGTTCTGTTACCCTGCCGAGTGAAGAGAGGAGGGGAGTGGGTTCTGAGGCCCAGCTGCCAGCTTGGATAACTAAATATGTCACAAGGCAGGGTGAAAGCTTCGCTTTGTGCCGCTGCGAGGCCCATGTGAGGACACAGTTCTGTCCCACCCATCAGGCTCACAGCTAGAGGGCCTTGTGTGCAGGTGGGGTCTCCGCACAGGTCCCCTCATGGACTTGCTTCTTTTCTGCTCACTTTGCCTGGTGTTGTCCCTCTGTACCGTGTCCTCTGGTGGATGCCACGTCAGCCCCCTCCCCTAGGTATGCGCTTTCTGGCACGCCCTGTAATTGGGCTCTTCTGGCTGTCAGCACAGGAGGCAGCTGAGAACTCACTCAGGGTCCACAGTCCGTTTCTGGTAGGTGGAGTGAGCCTGGGAAGCCTCCCTTGTGCCTGGACCAAGACCTGCATGGGTACTTTGAGGTTCTGTCCCCTTCCTCACACTCCCTCGTGGAAAACCCCTGGAGGGTGAGCCAAGAGAAGGCAGAGCAGTATCCTAGAGAATTTGCCTGGCCCAGCGGTGAGGCTCCCTTTCGTACTTCAGTCTGGGTGTGGAATCTGCTGATTTGTAACACCAGACCAGTGAGAAAGACCAGACATGGAAAGAGACCAGTTTTAGAAGAGATATCTTAATTTTTCTTTTTGTATCAAAATGATTTCATTAATTATAAGATATGTGCCCTACTAAGGAAAGATATAAACAAGGGGAGGCGATGCGTATGTATGAACATATGAGAACTCTACTATTTCCTCAGTTTTTCTGTAAGTCTAAGGCTTTACCAGAAAATAAAGGCTGTTAAAAACACCCGAACAAGCACGATGGACAAGAACGTGGTGTTCTCTCCCCATTCGTTTAAATTGTTTCTATAGTATAAAATGCCAGGAGGCGCACGCCAAATTAAGGGCCAGGAATATTTTATATCTTGGAATACAGACAGGGAACTACTGCCTCGTCACGACATATCATTCCTCCTACTCGCTAAATTTTACAAATTAAACACACATTGAGCACTCGTCGTGGTATACACAGACTGTCCTTACACTGTGTAGCCCAAGCTGGCCTCGAACTTGTGGTAATCATCCTGCCTCAGCTTCCAGAGAGCTAGGATTATATATAGGTCTGTGCCACCATGCCTGGCCTTGAATGTTTTCTACTCTGAATTCATTTTTGTTCTTCTGTGTATTCCAGGCTGGCCCTGAACTGGCAGCAATCCTCCTGCTTTAGCCTCTTGAGTGCTCCTGCACCACTGTGCCTGGCCTCTTTTTTTACTTTTTTAGTGCTGAACCCAGGGCCTCATACATGCTGTGCAAGTGCTTCATCCCTGAGCTGCATTCCCAGTTCACCTTGAACCCCCTTCCCCCATTTTCTGGACTGGGCTTTTTTTTTTTTTTTTTTTTTTTTTTTTTTTTTTTTTTTTTTTTGGTATGGGGTCGTCGAACTTGGGACCTTCTGCTTGCAAGGCAGGTGGTGGCACCACCGGGCTAAATCCCTGGCCCTCAGGACCTTTCCTCTAAGCTGCTTCTCCAGCCTTTTTTATTTTGAGAAAGCGTCTCACTAAGTTGCCCAGGCTGGGCTTGAACTTGTGATCCTCCTGTTTTGGCCTCCCAGAGTGCTGGGATCACAGGCGTGTGCCACCACACCCAGCCCTGAATTCTTTTTTTTTTTTT